TTAAAGTCCAAAGCCTCTGTTGGGTTATTCAGCTGAGAGGGCCGAGAAGTGGAAATCACATTCTACAGGCAACGCTGGAGCACATGAATTATTCTGATCATTTTAGGGGCAGGAAAATGAATACTGAGGGTGAAATGAAATGTAGAGAAGAGGATGAGATGCGGCAGACCCGATGATCTTTCATTTCTTCTCCTCCGGACCCCTCCACTCCCCCCTCCGAGTAAACATAAAGTCGTAGACTTGGCAGATAGAGGCATATTAGAAAATCTCACTTTGACAACAGCTTCACATTTCCACCGATAATCCACCATCTGATGTCAAAGCAATAGCCATGCTTTTTGGAGGCAGGTAAGCGCTAAGCTGTGGGAAAATGGGAATTTGGGGTAAAAATGTAATGCTGTCTTTGCTTTCACGAATTGATCCGTGATGACGGACATTGTGTGGCCAATAAATGTTCCTTCTTTCCACTGGTGTGCGGTAAAGGCTGCATTTTCCGGCCCATTGGAGAGAGATGTTAGCACCTCAGATGTGCATTGTTTTGAAGCAAAACTTCATGTCCTTTCTAACAGGAAACAACGTTTGCCTAATGTGGCTGCAAAGGTTCAGAAGTTCAAAAGAAAAGCAGTGTGACTCCTTCTGTGCACATACAGGGGGTGTCCTTACAGATTTGGATCCTCTGTGCATGGCTTCACATTCACTACAGACATGAAAAACTAGACATGAAACCCAGTGGGAGATTGTTACTTGGTGCCTTACAGGTTCAATATTTCAAGCTCTAATGAATTTTTGCTGGACTTTTTGACACCAGCTGTCTTCCAGACCACTCACTCTTCAACGCGCTGTGTTGTTCTGATGGGCAGACAGTGATTACCAAATACCTGTCATGTACCCAGATAAGCAGGGTGAAAGGACACAAATTGAAGGCCCTGTGATGTGACTGATGCCACAGTGCTGTCTGGTACTGGGACTTTTGGTTTGCAAATCACAGTGGTGTATGAAGTACACAAAAAGTAAAGATAAAGCCTAAAAAATATATTACTTCATTATAAATTTACTTGATTAAAAGCACAAAAATACATATATTTTTTAAAATATATGGTACTGAAGTAACAAAACAATGATCGATGAAGCATAGCTTATTTTTTATATGCTTATGCCTACACTGTAAAAATCAATTCTGTAGAAAAACGGATGTTGTTATCCATTACCATTCAAGTTAGAATGGTTAACTAGAGACTCTCTTCATCCAGATCCAGTTGTTGATTCGAGAATAATCGGCTCACATGAGTGATTTGTTCATGACTCAGACATTGCTATCCTGCCTTGGAGCTTCAGTTCAAATGAACAAGGAATGTAGTCAAAATTAGTTAAAAGTAAGTTATTATGTTTTGGAATGAAGTAAATGTTTTCCAAAGTGAAAATTCTGTAATAAGGGAAAGGCTACCTGCAAAAAGCACTTAAAATTACTTCATCCACCACTGGAAATCCATAGCCTAAAAGCTGCAACACCTGTCATATTTGCACTATACATTTTCTAAATGGTTTAATTTGTACCAATTCATCAGTCACATACATTTTCTTGTGATTTTCCCCACTAGCTTTTAATTTATTCAGTTTTAGGTATCTTATAAAAAAAAAAAGAAAAAAAAAGAACATACTGTGGGTGATAAAGATCATGTTGCATTAATGGTGACAATATTTTTTTGCTTCAGAGACTCAAAGGAGGTTTTTTTTTTTTTTTGTAGGCTGTATGTGATGTATATGATCAATGTGGGCTTTTGAAACACGAGATGTATTGGACTCTGAGATAAGAGACTTCCCATCAGTACCATTCCAAGGAAAGAGCAAGAGTCCATATTAATTAGAATAATCCATCAAAAGCGCTCACTGTATCGGAGTCTAATGAGGCTACATAACGTTTTAACAGTCACTGTTGCTTAAACTGTTGAACGACGGTGTACGTATCACTAAACATGCTGTTCGTGAGATTATTTGAGCCATAGCTAAATGTCTTTTGTATGGCAAATAAACAGCCTATTGCTTGTTAAATGAGTCAGAACTACAACAAGCAACCAAAATGAGTGTAGAAGTGATTGGGACTCATTCTGTGAATGACTGGAAAATAGGCCATGACACAACGCATTCAAAACAACATCAGGAGCTCTTAGATAACACAGACAACAGACCTTTCAGTGCACTTCACATCATTCGCAGCTTGACAGATTGAATATAAACATCATTTTTGGCACAAAAGAAAGCGGGAACGGTGCTTTAGAACTCTCTGGAGTAAAGTTTAATCCGAAAAATTTTACACGATTTTGTGAATTACAATGAAAACTTCGCCTGTCAGCGATGATGGCTACAGCGGATGATACTGCACCCTGTTAAAGCGTTGAGTGGAAAGAGAAGGAAATCAAAGCCCGAGATGAGGTAGATTGGTGTTTAGCATTTCCCCTAACATGACATGCCCATTAAAGATTAAGGCTAAAGAGACAGGCGAGGCTAATGGGAAGCGACGCAGTCTTTTAAACCTCGGCCATGATGAGTTACAACTTACAACCCTCAGCAGTCGCACTGCTGCAGTGACATGTTGACTGCCCTTGATTCAGGAGGCTCCTTCTCAGAGTCGGCCGTGAGAGTGGCGGATCCCCAGCGTACATCCAGCGCGGGCTTCAAACACAGCTAACCTTTAGTCAGCTTAATGTTACAGAGATTAAAACACACTTGAGTGTACATTTTTCCTCCGCTTTGTGCTGCCCTTGCTTTCACCACTGCGTAGTTCATGTAATCTTGTCTTCGGGGCTTATCCTACGATTACCAGCCGTATTTGATTCAAGATATACGCTTGTAATGAACTCAAGTCTAGAGAGAGTTTGCAACATTTTAGTGCAGCATAACTTCCTGTCTTATGCATATCAGGTAAAAGCTGTTTAAGTTTTGCTCAGACTTTTTCATTATACAAAAAAAGAAAAGAATTGACACGTGGGTTGGTAAATATATACTGTATATATATATATATATATATATATATATATTTAATTTGAGAGTGAACTATTCCTTTAATCTAGGAATCCTTTATATAGTTATAAAGAAACCTCAACCAGTTTCTCTTAGAAGCAAAAGCACTTCTGCTGGAGTACAGTTTTTCCATCTTCTTTCCAATACATGCATACTGACCCTTTTAAATGAGGTTAGTGCACCTGAATCCTGGAGTGCTGCTATATATTAAAGCCCTCAATGGCCTTGTACAGACACACAGAGAGACCAGATGAGACTAGTGTCTACGTACATATTTGCAGATAGCGCTGGATGGCAGGGTGATTGAGTTAACATGGGCATTGTTTGAAATGTCACCATCTGCCTCACAACTGCTGATCCCCAATCAATTTAAAATGAATACTGTTTCCTCTCCCTCCAAATCTAGTGGTGAACTCTGAGATCTTCATTATAGATTGGCCTTATGAGCTGACGATCTGGGACAGAAACTGGAAATTTTCTGATAACGATCATGACATTTGGCCTATAAGAATCGTTAAAAAAGTCATGCCCATATATTGAGCATCAAAGGAAGTAATATACAGGATATATCTATACTGAAATATATTTAAAGGTCCCCTGAAATGCTTAGAAACACGCAGCGTTACTCTATGTGTTGACGTCATTTTAACTGAAACAGGAAGACAGGGCGGGACATATCAAGCAGCCCCGCCCCTTTTTAAAATAGCCAATAGCGTTCGTTTATATCACAGCTT